CCTCCAAGTTATCAAGGGCCACAGGAAGCAAGACAAAAACAGCAAGTCTCCTCCAGCCAAGGGGCCAGCGGAAGCCCCAGCCACCGTCAACAGGAAGCCTTGAGCACTGAAGGGAAAGAGGGCTTCACGTCGTCTCCTCATTGAAACGCTGATAACAAGGGTGACTCCGGAGCAGGCCTTCCTCCTCCCTCTCCTCTGGGTCACGTCTGCCAAGGTCACTGTGGGGCTGGCGGGGCGCAAGCGAGGACCGGGAACAGCGTGGCCCGAGGACGGAGCCTAGGGATGTTATTAGACCACCGCGACGTCCGGGTACCACTGACAGAGGGCGCTTTTTCCCTTTCACGTGCCAGACAGGACAGACCATTCAGCAGAGTCCCACACAGCGCGGACCAGGTCGGAATGCAACATAGTCTTAGACACAGAGAGACACCTGGACAGTTGGCTGAGCGTAAGGCTGACCAGCTCACGTGTACATTCCCAGCATTCGGCTGTTGCCCCAGAGGGGAGCCACGTCCGATGGCGCTGGCCTGTCGTGTGTGTGCGGTAACAGAAGCAAGACACCTGGATCCGAATCTGGACTCGGGGCTGGCCGCGAGAGGCCCAGCTGTCAGAAGGCACTGGTGGAGGGGCAGTGCGGAGGACTCGGGTTTCCCCGGGGTCCGCCGGCCTGCCGAGAGGTCAGGTGTGTAGCAAGTCACCAGATGGCTGGCGCATTAACGAGGGCTCTGCTGGCAATCCGGCCGGCTCCCAGGAGCCCCTGAGAGGACAAGAGGCAACCTGCTACGTCTGGAGAGGGAAAAGCTCCCTGCAGCCTACTGCAGGTGTCGGGAGACGACTCCAGAGAAGAAGAGTCATCTGCAAGGCCAGCTGGTTTAAGTCTCTGCCGGGGTCGGGGTGGATGGGCGAGGGGAGGGGACATTCACCATCAGCATCATGTGTGTCGCAGGGCAATGTGACACACGGTGGGGGCATTAAGGCAAGTCCACACCTGCGAGTGCTCACTCGCTTCCTGTACAGCCGGGGTCGTGGCCTCTCGGGAAACTGGCACAGGAGGCTGAAAAGGCAGCTCGCCCCCTTGGGGGTGGCGCTGAGGCCCCGCGGCTGGGGGGTGTGGGTGCGGGGGCTCTGAGCTCGGCGTGAACTTCACTGCCTACAACCGTCCCCAGGCAACGCTCCTTACTGAGGACTAATGAGTTGGAGAAAAGCCATCTGCGAAGCCATGGGTTTTGTGTTTGTCATTAATGAGTGTGTGTGCGCACGCACACACGTGGTCCTCGGCCGAACTGTGTCAGAAAAGGAGCAGTTTCTGTGAGAAGACAGTGAGCTGTGTTGCCGGGCGCGCCGCGTCAACCCCAGGGGGGCCGCTCGGCTTTTCAGTAGTTGCACCAGCCCCCAGGCTTCAGCAGCTAACGCCGCAGCGGCGCGGCCCCTGCCGGCGGGTGCGTCCGGCCACGGCGGGGGGCCCTCACTGCAGCATGATGTCCTTCAGGTTCTCCTGCAGGATGGTGTCCTTCACGGCGTGGAACACAAAGCGGATGTTCTCGGTGTCTATGGCGGTGGTGAAGTGGTGGAAGAGGGGCCTGCTGCGGTTCCGCCGCTTCCGGTCGAAACCCTGGACCAGGTAGCGCTGCACGTCCTCCAGCCTGTGCGGGTCGCCCCGGAAGTCCGGGAAGTGCTTCTTGATGCTGACGGTCTTCACCTTCTCCACCAGCAGGTCCATCTTGTTGAGGAACAAGATGATGGAGACGTTGAAGAACAGCTTGTTGTTGACGATGGTCTCAAAGATGTTCATCGACTCCACCAGCCGGTTGGTGCGCCGGTCCTCCATGAGGACCTGGTCGTACTCACTGGAGGAGACCATGAACAGGATCGACGTGATCCCGTCAAAGCACTGGAACCACTTCTGGCGCTGAGACCGCTGGCCGCCCACATCCACCATCTTGAAAGGGATTTTTTTAATGACAAAGTCATGCTCCACGATGCCCTTGGTGGCCTTCCTTGCCAGCAGGATGTCCTGCTTGCTAGGGCAGTAGTTCTGCAAAAACAGGGTAAGGGAGCAAGTCAGGAGGAAGAACGTGAGAAAATAAGAACGAAGAGATGGGGTGGAGCGGAAGAGAGTGAGACGGACTTCTGCAAGAAGTTGAACTCAATTCCAACAGCAACTTTCACGTATAAAAATACAGACTTACCGTGAAACAGAAAGTGAAGGAACTAAGTAGCTCATTTCAAAGTGAATGGGGGCCCATCAGACTGAGGAAGGAGGGTCAGACGCCTCCTGTCAGGCCCCAGCCTGAAGTCCCAGCCACTCCCTTCCCCACGGGGACCTACCATCCTTTCTCCCCCTGCACCAGAGCTACCCTCTATTTTCCTAACTTCCAGGCCACACGTCTTCCAAAACCTTATTGTGAACTGCTTTAAGTTACGTTTTGCAATGCTGTTTAAATTTAGCCTGCAATATATTCAATATTTTATTCTTGGAGGACTCCTAGAGCCTTCAGCAACACACAGGCAACTGTGGTCCCTCAGGCCGCTTTGATCCTGCGCTACGCAATTCTGCAGTGATCACTGCACACCAGCACTCACGCAGCATCCTCGCCAAAAATGCAGCAGGGACGGGGCCTCTAGACCCAACTACCAATTCACAAGGCACACGGGGAGAGAAACTTCCTCAAAAGCACTGCAGGGACGGAAGAGCCAAGTCCAGATGGGAGGAACCCCACATGGGAAATGGTCCAGTCACTCCTGCATCAAATAGAGCGGAAGAAAGAAAAGAGGGAGGGAGAAACCCACAGATGGAAAGGAGCTTCAGTGACGTGGACCAGCTGCGACGGGTGGGCCTCACCAGGAGGGCGGCTCAAACTGCTAGAATGGCGCAGCGTCCCCAGGGACGTCACTGAGACAAGCGGGGAGGCTGGCTGATAGTAAGGAGTTACTTCTAATTACTACCATTTTAAAACTGAAGTACAGTTGATTTACAGTGTGCCAGTTTCTGGTGTACAGCAGTGATTCAGTTATACATGGATTTATTCCTTCTCATTACTGTGGATCTTCCAAGGAGAAATCATGGTATCGTGGTTATGATTTTTAGAGCCTTATCTGTCACGAGACACACTCTAAAACATCACTGATGAAACGATACGATGATGGTTTGCCCCTGGGGGGTGGGGAGGAGGCTGGTGAAACAAGATGAGTCCTGAGCAGTAACTGTTGACCCTGGACTTTCATTAGACTACTTTTGTGTCTGTCTGAATTTTCCGTAATATTTTTATTCTGAAGGAGGCCTTTGTTTGCAGAAGAACTCCTGTCTCCTCTTGGGAGGCCTGGGCCAAGGCGCTCTCACAGAAACACGGCTTCACATCCCGATTTAGCCGGGACTGAAGGTGCACATGCAAGAAGGTGGGAGCTTCCTCTGTCCGAGTGAGGAAGTCCTCCCCAGCGCACACGCTTCCCTGCCCGCCCTGACACGGGCCGAGTGGGAGGGAGACGCCGAAAGCCACTCAGGGTCGTCGGGCACGACAGAGAAAGCCGTCGCGGCTTCGTGGCTCTGGTCCCCGCACAAAGGTTTGCTGACCCTGGATCAGACTCGGGGGTGGGGTCTTACTCACCAGCTGGCCGATCCGGTCCAGGTTGTCCAGGAAGTACTTCACTGATTCACCCTGTCATGGAGGAAGAAGATTCACGACTCAGTATGGACTGAGGAACCCTCATCTGGTAACTGGAAGGACCTAACACGGTCAAATGAAGGCTGTCTTGCCTCAGTGTAAACAGGAAGGAAAGGAAAAAGACTAAGAGTGTACACGCATTTTTTCAAACTAAAAACACAATTTAAAAACATTTAAAAATGCAACTTCTATAACTCCGATCCCAAGGTTCAGATTCAGACTGTGTGTCTCCAGGCGCCCCCGCGTGGCTGTGGTGATGGGCAGGGTGCCGCCCCTCTGACCAAGCTAACCCCGTCCTTCCCAGATGTGGACGCGGCCTGCTCCGGGCCACGCTGCCGGCGAGCCAGACCGGGAGGTGCAGGCCCTGGGAACAGCTGTGCTTCTGGCAGGGCTGGCCCAGTGCGCTCTAGACACTGTCCTTAAAAACGGTATCGCTTTATGAGAAGAGGCAAGTTACCAAACACGTTCCAGTTTCTGGAAACAGGCCTGACCTTCCACTTTACATCACATGTTGGTACGACCTGATTTACCGTCTACCACGAGGAGAATCTTTGGTCTGGACTTCTGCAGGGGAATGGCCAGTCTTCTTTCACCCCCCCGGACATTGTCTGGACAGAACGCTGATACAAACCGAAACTGCCAATCCCTAGAAGTGCACCTTAAGAATCACCCATGGTCCATTCTCGGAGGAGCTGCACTCCCCAGGGCAGCAGCACGCATGGGTCCAAGAAGTGTTTAGAGGGCCTGCAGATGTCGACTTGAATGGAGCGCACAGAGGACGGGGAAAGTGCGCAGGCGTGCAACAGCTCCCCTCAAAGGGCAGGGTGCTGCCTGTTAGCTCCACCCCACGTGCCCACGGACACCGCTTCCCGCAGAGCTCACTCGGAACCCGCTTGCTGGCAGGGACCAGCAAGGCTGGCGAGGTTCTCGGACGGGGACCTGGGAAGTGGGCGGCTGCACGCGCATGGCGGTGGTGGGGCAGGGCCACGGCACAAGCAGCAGGCTGACGCTCTCGACTTTTAAGGAGGAAGAGCATCAGAAAGGTACCAGTTTACAGCTGGGGCTTGTGACGCCATAAAAAAAGAAAACAGGATGAAGATGGACTGGAGCAGCTGCCCCCGGCTTCTCTTCCCCACGTGTCTCCAACAGGCCTGAAGGAAGAAACCGACGGGTGAATTTCCTTCAGTGACGGACCAGCCTTCCCATTCTAAAATGAAGGCCTTGTGGGATGATTCAGATGAGAGCATTTGTCTAAGGAGATGGAACACGCTTCCTCCCCATTTGAGCACAGATTGTGAACCACAAGGACGATTTTCCTCCTTGGCATTGCGGGCTGCTGGAGCCGGCACCCAGCTTCCACCACGCGGCCACCCTGGCCTCGGGCCTCTCCCCGCCCCCCAGCCTTCCACGTGGGGAAAGCCTCCATCTGAGTGGCTGTGCACCTTCCCCGGGGGCTGCGTGCGTGTTCCTGCTCTGTCTGCACATCCCACCTCCTCCCGCGGCCGGACAGGAAACAGCCGGTGAGCGGAGAGTGGCTGCACACGGCGAACTTACGGATTTACGGCTGCCCCTTCCGCGAGACGCCTCTCTCTCCCCTCCCACTGCCCCTCGTGCGGGGCCTTTGGAGGCTCAGCACCGCACAGGACCAGGCTGGCGAGATCAGTGCACGAGGGACTGGCTCTGGTCACATCTCTTCCTCTGCCAGCAGTGCGGTCCAGCCCACCACAGCTGGCTGAACTCCGGTACTTTCTGCCAGTGTCACAGGGCAGGTGTGTGCGTGGCAGGGAGCCCATCTGGGTCAAGAATCACTGGCGGAGGCCCCGCAGGGGACGGAGGAAGGACAAAGTAGTTGTGGGTTAGTCCAAGACGTAGAGGTGGAGGCCGGGAGGAATCACAGGCCGTCAAAAAGGCAACAATAAAGAATGATTCTCCCCTCCTTCCAACGGGGCTGCCTGGTTAACATAAAATAGAAGCACTAAAAACCCAATGAACGTCTGAAGAATGTCTCGCTGAGGCATTAGTCATTAACTAGCTCAAAACAAATGGAATGAGTCGGAATCTGGTTTCTTCAGGCTTTTTATGGAAAGCCCCTGTATTTTTATTAACTTATTCAAATAACACAAAGAAAAAAAGCCTTCAAAATGCAACAGCTCCCCAACTGTCTCTGTTCACCGTATTAGAAATTAAAACTGAGCGAATTTAGAAATACAAAAATATATAAGCACACACCTAGTTAGCCACCAGAGGCAACACTGTCACACGTCACGTGGCCTCTGGAAAGCTCTGCGGTACACTCTTGGGAGAATGGGAGTGAAAAAGGCAAACAGTGTCTCAGCATTATTATGAAAACAGTTCTGAGCAGGCGGGGCCCCTGGAAGGGTCTCAGGGACGCGCACCCCACACTTTGAGGACTGCCCTCGAGGGCTCCAGCGCCGGGCACCAGAGTCCTGGGCAGCGTGGCGCCACAGCCAAGGCTGGAGGTGGCTGGGCCCGCCGCGAGCGCCCGCGCGCAAGCTGCAGCGCTGTCCGGAGCGAGTGCAGGGAGGGCGGGGGCGGGGGCGGGGCTGCCGCCATACGCACTGCACATCGCACGGCGGCGCGTCTCAGGACGAGGCGGGGAGTGAGAGGCAAGTGGTGGTAAGACGTTTACACTATTCCCTACTCACAGGAGGGTTACAAGCGGGCAGAGCCAAGCATAACATGACAGTCACAGGAGCTGAAACACGCACAGTGCTCCCTGAGCGCCGGGCACTGCTGCAAGCGACATGAGCTCAACGACGAGTCCCCGTTTGACAGACGATAAAACAAGACGGACCGTTTAAGTAACCTGGCCAGTGGGAAGTCATGTGGCTCCTCGGTCCCTTTAGGGACACACAGAGGGTGAAAACACAGACAAAAGGGAGGGGATAATGAGCCCAAACCAGAATGGCACTTATGGTGGGGCTGGTGCGCGGGGGTACAAACTACCAGTGGCGCTCTTACCCTGCGGGGCGGGTGCAGACACGCCTGGCTTACTAGGTTTTGAGCTGTGCATGTTCAGACCCTCGCTGGAGTCACACAGGGTGTGAGAAACAGCTACATATTTTACAATTTCTAAAAAGAGCAAGAGAGAGAAGCCCAGAGAAGGGCATCACAGGACGACGTTGAGGTCGGGCCGGCCCCTCCACGCGGCTTCTCAGACCAGCAGGCCGACCTTATTAAACACGACCTTTCCACCACTTTTGTCAGAGTCTCACGACTGGGCCTCCTTTCTTGCCCCCACCTCCTGCCGCCAGAGGCTTTGTCATGACTATAAACACATAAAAATGACACAGACACTCAATTTTAAAAGTACTGAACAAAATAGGGAAACACCTGGTACTTCAAGGCTGAGCAACTACAAAAAGAAAGGCCTCAGTTAGCAACACGTAAGTGGGGTTCGTGGCCGAGAAAGAAAAGAATTGAGTGCCGAGGTGCGTGCGTTTTCTGAGAGTCTGTCTCCGCTCTCCCCTTTCCTATCACCCATTTTAGCCTGGGGCAAGGAGGAGAAAACGCTGAGAGAGGACTAAAAAGACAGTAAATGATGAATTACTCAGGATTTCCCGGTAGGGGAGAGGTCACTTTCCCCCACGTTATTCAGGCTCACTTCTGCCTTTGGTCGAGTCCGTTATCCCACCCCCCAGGCGTCCCCTAGGCAACCCCACGTTCATCAGCACCCCAAGCGCAACTCCAGGGTGGAACTCCAGGGTGGAGCATGATCGCTGAGGAATCTAAGCAGTCGATCCCACTGGTCTTTCTCAGACACAACAGGAAGCATTTAAGAGCTAAAAATGCCTTCCCTCCCGAAGTCCATTCCGTGGTTTTCCTTACTTTCAGGCGTGGTTTGCTCTGTTCTGACACCATCTCACAGGTGCCACGTGGGGCCCGCGAGGGTCCATCCAAGCACACGCACCCCACACCCCACGAATCCCCCCAGAAACCTTTCAAAACCTGTCACTGCCCCTTTAAGTCTCCCCAACCCCCTGCCTCTAAATCCATCTTCACTTCCTTCTACAGGCAGCTTATCCACGGAGCTAAGTTTAGCTACCAAATGCTAATCTTCCCTCCAGGGACATCTGAGGTCTCTGCTGGCGGGCCGCCCCGGCAGCACGGCGCTCGCGTCCACAGTGGAATCACTGCAGAGCAGCTGGCATCCCTGGGAGCAAGGGCTCTCTCCTCACAACGGTTTTTTTGGGGGGATGGGGGCGGAGGGAGCATCTTTTGGCCGAAGTCTTCCTCACTCCAACTCATTCCCTCCACCCCAGTCCCGACAGGGCCTGCCTGGTTAGTCCTCACAGTCCACGTCTCGTCCTGGGACAGCTTGTAATTTCTGACCCAAAGCAGTAAAATTTAAACGGAGCCACAAACGCAACAGAGACGCAGCACAGACCTTAGAAAACCCAGCCGGCCTCCTGCCTCACCTGGCCCTCAGCCGTGGGGGTCCTCTGAGGTACACTGATGGGAGGGAAAGGCCGACCTGCACAAAACTCCACGGGAAGCTGAGGCCCCAGCTCGGGGGCTTCGCCGCGGGGACCACGGAGTGGGCCCTCAAATGGGCCGATGACTTGGCTGAGACCAGACCTCCTGCCGCATGGTTGGAAGGACGGCTGAGCTGGTGACGGAATCTGAGACCTCACAGCAGGAAAGTAAAAGGAAAGGAGAAAATCAAGCCAACCTCTCGTTACCTGACGGTGTTCAGGCGATGGGAAGAGACAGCGACACCCTCCCCCGTGGCTCCCAGCACGCGGCCAGCTCACCTACTTAATTCCCGAGGATAGAAAGAGCTCCCACTAGACAGCGCGTGTTTCCAAAACCAGCCTTTTGACCCTAAACTCAGAATTTCACCTGATTTACAATCTGGCAACTAATGCTTCTTCTCTCACATTGAATTTGCTATTAAAAAAATTCACGAACAGCCGCCAGGACAGGTGCTGGTAAACACAAAGATCAGCATGGCTGTGACAAACGGGAGCACG